ATTGAGAGCCAGTCTTTAAGTCATTGCTTATCAAGCCCAATCATTTTAAATATCAGGTAAGATAAATTGTTAACTAAGACAGACAATGTTGGTGGTTTTTTACCAATATTTGTATTTATTTTATAAATTTCCTTGATATCAACTTTTAATTTGTTCTCAGGCTAATAGTAGTCAGAAATAGACATATAGACAATAGACATATGATAGAATTGCAATTTTTCCCTTCTCCTCTAATGCTAACTCATCATCTAGCTAAGCTAGAGATATCATGGTTGAATCCAAATACCAACAATGTTTATACTGAGACTCTAATACAGCATCAGCAGCTATTGGGTTCATACATACAATCTTGTACAGGTGCATGTATGGCCGTGAGATCAAGAAATAAAGCTTTAATGACATCCTCAGATTGTAGATATCATTTTGCATAAAAGCAAGAAATAAATTCTGATAAATGTTTATCAGCTTATCATTTTCTTAAACAAACGCAAGTTTATTGGATAGAAGTTGAAGTTTTAGATAATAAATTGCTTTTCCTAAAAATCTTGCATGATGAATAGCACAAGTTTTTCTTACTTTATATGTAAAAGGGGATAAATAAGTAACAACTAATTCTGCAAGCTCACTTTTATCATCTCTTATAATACCTGGTTTACCAACATAAGCTTTGCAAAATGTCAATGACTTATTAGCTGCCTTTTTAAAAAAAGAGCTTTTATCATTATTCCTATCAAATTGTAACAGATTATAATTAAAATTATGCTCTTTAAAAATATCTTTTAACTTTTTGAAAAGAGGATTATCAGGTTCTTTAGTTTTTTCATTGGTCACTAATTTCCAAAAATGAAGTATTCTAAATTCAGTCAAGATACTTATCTAGTTTTTTAGATATTCTGAAAACTGATCCTTTATTTGTCCCAGTATTGGATGGCGTTGTATCAAAATATATTCCTCTAGTTTATGACGTAAGTTGATAATTATCCTTAATTAAGTTCGTTACACCTAAGAACTGATCTTCACCAGTGAATGATGCTAGCAGAGGTACTCCAATTAGGTAAGTCTTTCCATTAATGTTAACTAAAACAGCCATTCTACCACTTTTCAATAATTTTTCTTTGTTTAACTCAAACACAGTCTTGCCATCAAAATAAAATATACATGGATATGGAGATGCATTAATGGCTCCCTTAATATCCTCTTTTGTAATGATAGAAATTTTTTAATTTTTTTTTTCCATTTTTCTCTAAGCAGTAGACTGGCTGCTTTTAATTTTTTAAGATGAACTCCTGATTGGCATAGAATTGCGTTTATTACTTTCTATAAAATATTTTACAATATAACACAGGCTGTAGCAGTAAGTGAAACATTACCCACATAAATATCTTTTGGAATTTTTGAAGTTACTTTTTCTGGATTTTCAGAGACTTCTATATGATACCAATCACTTGGATCAAAATCAGATTCGAAAGTCTTCGCTTAGAATTGCGTCCATAAGTTCACAGTTAGGTATATCATCTATCAAACTCTTAGGCTGTGAACAATTTTTCTTCCTGATACTTTCTTTTGCCTTATTTACAGAAAAATTATAGTTTTAAAACTAAAAGCATTGACTAGCTTTTTTTATATACTTAATATCCTCTGAACCAATAAAAAATCTTTCTTTCACCTTCTTGATCTTCCAAAAAATTTGAATGATCAATCTTTTCTTATAGTGATCTTTTTTTATCTTTACTGATCATGTTTTTGAGATTAGAATTACCAGTTCAAATAAGTTTTTTAATTTCGATCTCAAACTCATTTTGTTCAGTCAAATTACCTATAAATCTTCTTTTTGCATTTTTTTTACAAGTTGGAATAGGAAAAAAAATTTAACTAAACTTAAGTCAGTTAACACATCAAAGCCAGCATTAATCCAGGTTCTCTTTATTTTAGACAAAATACATTTACAACAACTATCTAAACATCTTTAAAAAATTTTTAAAGGGGACAAGTAATAACATTCGATGTTGGCGCAAGTTTGAATTGTTGATTATATATTAAATGTTGAAGAACATCCAACTCTGTTGTACATCTACACAGAAAGATTTAAACATTTTTAAATAAATATTTTAGTGACCAATAATTTAATAATTCCAGTATTAATAAAAATATTTCTACCAGATATAGCTGGTTTTGCCTCTTTTATAATAAAGCGTTCCTTTTTCTTTAACCTAAGTTGTGCTTCATTCATTTTTATTATGTTTATTGTATGTACTAATCTAAAACTATTAGAAATAGTTGTAGGTTAATTTAATCATAAATTGCACCAAAATATAAATATATAACAATAGGAATAAATGAAAAGTTTACCAATTTTCACAATTTTCAATTCCACCAAAAAAAGATTTTTGAGGGGTAATAAAAAAACCATATATTTTTAAACTAAAATATAGGTCTGTGTATATAGTATTTTTTATATATTTTCCTCAAATTTAGGGGGTATGGTTTTTTAGATTTAAAAATTTACTTATTTTGACTACCCCTTGTATGTGTGTGTGTTGACCACTCAATAGTAGGTATTCAAGAATTTTGTATGCATCTTTTATTTTTTCTTGCTGAATGTTTTGGGTCATTGTCATGCTGAAATATATAAAATAAATGATATAAAGTCTCAGTTATATATGTATATATATATATATATATATATATATATATATATATATATATATATATATATATATATATATATGTATATATTTATATATATATATATATATATATATATATATATATATATATATATATATATATATATATATATATATATATATATATATATATATATATATATATGTATATATATATATATATGTATGTATATATATATATATATACATATATATATATATATATATATATATATATATATATATATATATATATATATATATATATATATATATATATAAATATATATGTATATATATATGTATATATATATATATATATATATATATATATATATATATATATATATATATATATATATATATATATATAAATGTTGTATACTGCTGGAAATACAACTCTTGTCTGTTTATGAGTGATCAATATCTTTTTTTTTTTTTAAATAGATCAAATTATATTAAAATAATTTAAATGAAAAAAAAAAACAACTTTATGATGGAACTAAAAGTTTCATGCCATTCGGCAATCATTAGCCATTTTATTCAAATAAAAAATAAAAACTGTTATAAAAAATACAAATTTAGCGTTGCAACGGCATCTGACGTCAATCATACGTGATCCGATATTTGCTAATCGCCGGAATTAAAGTTTGTAAAAAATTTTTCCTATGCCTACAAGCAGAAACTAATTCACTTGTTAAGTAGTAGTCGACTATCAAAAGATGTAATGGAAAATGTAAGTCAATTAAGTTTAAGAAAAGATGTCCAATTTTTGTTATTACATTTTTACTGTAAGGAGGGTTAAACCATATAATATATGGTTTGAGTGCATTTGATGGAGAGGAGGTGTGCAAATTAGTTGGTATTTTTCTTTTCCAGATTTTGCAATTTTTTAAAACTGATTTTGGATCATACAGAGACGATGGCTTAGCCATATTTAAAAACGCAAGCGGTCCAAAAATGGAAAAAATTAAGAAGCATTTTACTCAAATATTTAAACAAAACAACTTCAGTATTTCCATTCAATCTAATATGAAAATTGTTAATTACCTTGATGTTACATTTAATCTTATTAACAACACTTTCAACCTTACCATAAACCTGATAGTACGTTAAATTATATCCATGCTAATTCCAACCATCCACTAAGCATTTTAAAACAATTACCAATCTCAATTGGACATAGGTTATCTTCCAATTCTTCAAGCGAAAAAATATTCCAAAAGACTGCTCCAATTTATAATGACGCATTAGAAAAGTCTGGATTTCACACCATTCTCCAATATCATTCAAATCTATCAAATTCTTCTATTACTAATAAAT